GTCAGGAAAATAAAGTCCTTGTTCCAGTGATCGCATCTTCTTCTTCAGTCCTTTTAGTCCAAATCTAGTAGAAAAGAACACTGCCTGATGGAAAGAGTTGGGAGGGCAAGCCCTGATGTGCTCAGGGCCTCAACAATTTATTTTCCCGAAATAGCATAAACCCAGATTTCGCACTTCTAGCTGAGATCGAGGATTATGAGCCCCAGTGTTGGTGCACTAGGTGTACTTTATCGAAATCGATGGTCGAACACACACACACACATGCACAGCGCAGCAGCTACCCATAACCGTCCATGGTCTCGCACCTTACGACTTGTATAGGGCCTATAGCCCACGGACCACGGGCTCTGGTTCGCCAAGTTTGTGAACTGCTGGTCCCGTGTGCTAAATATTATCTATGTCTGTTATTGTATTTTAGTTTCGCTAGAGGACAGGATTGCGCTTTTCCGTGAGATTTTAACGTTACTTATCTTTCCCCTGCCCCACCACCCCCATCTACCTACTTATTGCATTTGTGGCTGATAATGACTTATTCGAAACTCATAAAACGTCCGCATTTTGCCATGGAAACCTCGAATTTCACACGAGGAGTCATATTTTTACGTATTTTTCGTTTAGAATACGCAGTTTTATAAATATGTTACAGAGTACATGATAAAGGAATTGTTGTAAAAAATTGAAAAACAAGAAAAAAAGAGTATATGTAGAGATACTCTTTGCATCCAAGAGTGTACAAGGGTTGACGGTCAAACTGACTGCAATCACTTTCCATCACTTTTTTTCCGCTTTTCCCTCACTTTCCCCCGCTTTTCCCCTCACTTTTCCCCACTTTTTCCTCACTGCTACAAGTGAAAAAATAAAATGTCTATTCAAGCAAGCTGCACGTAACGGTAGTCTTTTTTCTGATAACAGACATGTTTACTGACAACATAAAAAAGGCGGAATCGTGAAATGAATTCCGGTAAATTGTGTACTTACGCAGTTGGCTTCTCGGGCGTATCCAAACCCACCATCTTGTAGGACATCTCCCATACCTTGAAACATATTTCGTCGTCCTCGGCCTGGGGATTGATCGCTGCCGGCGCGCAGTCAGCATAATAGCCACCATTCTCTAAATCAGTTGCCAGTACAGCATACAAGGTTGTCTGAGCACCCTCCCATTCCGTTTTCATGAAGAAACCGCTCATGGCGCGAAATACGGCCGTACAGAGGAAAACAAAGAACAGTATGAGTAAGGGAAATTAACATGATGAGGGAGAAAAGTACTTGGTTACCGGACCAGCCTTTATGTTTGTCTAAAACTCGCAGTTTCTCAGGACGTATAATAACAAAAAGTCACATTCACAGCCCTTTGTACCTTCCCCACGCATGTCGGTCATGGGAATCATTGGTTGGGAAAAAGTCTAGATCAAGTCTGACAGGTTGGGTGGCATGCAGGAAGGAAAGCTATAGGTTGTTTTACAGAGTTAGTGTCACAGATTACGAGACTTCCTTGTAGGAGCTGATTTTCTCCGCCAATGAAGATTGGTGTCGTATTTGCTCTTTAGGTATGACCAAAACTGTCAGTCTAGACTAGAACAACTTCCGATAGCCGTTAAATCCAGAAACCATCCTCTTTATACCAGAGAACGTGCTTCAAGAAAGAAATTTACATATTGAGAGTTCAGTGGCCTCCATCGTTTCCGAAATGTGCATGGTAATTTGAAGGAAGACGAATGCGTCGGCTACACCCTAAATAATCTGCCACTTACTTCCTGTTTGCGTTAATCAATGGCAAGCCTCTTGACATGCTACGCTGTGAAAACGTTTTTTTTCTTGCGAACTCCTGAACAAAGAAATCCAACAATGTCAACATTGCCCCAGTCAAATCTATCACGAACAATGCAGAAATAGATTCTTAAATGAGAGTTGGGTTAAGTACATTAATAATTAAGTCCAGAACAAAGTCAAGAACTGATGTTAATGCTGCATGTTAACTTAGACCTAAAGTATCTTAAACCAGCTTATGTAATTCATTCTGTTCTCTGCATTGTATTTATCCATTTTTGAGTGGGCGCTCAATCAGTATCCTTGTAAACCGCTATTTTTTATCTGTAAAACTTTATGTATTCGGCATTCCCTAGTTTTTTATGTTGTCTGACCAACGCGATATCACCGTCAACAAATTTTAACTTTTCCCTATATGCAAGTTCATTACTCCTTAGTTCGATGTTTGGGTCGGGGTTGCTTCAAATGCATCATTTTTTTCTACAGGGCACATGAAACCACTCCTCAAAACAACTTTAGCCCTGCGCATCCGATTGGCCCATTTTAATTTTATATTTTCATAATCAATATAGTTTGAAGGCTAATCGTCGACAGCCTGTACTTATTCTGTAAAGATAGTGCCCTTTCAACACTACGAACAAGTTTGTGTGAGGGACTGACGTTTCTTCAGTTCAGTTTAGTTCAGTTGTATTCAGGTGGAAAGAAAGAGGATAAATTGAAATAATGTAAACTCTCTTCAAGGTATGGTGCTTCTGTTGCCACAGCACGTGGAAGAGACTGACAGATAATTTAGTGTTTTCGATGTAATCACAGGTCTTGGGACAGGATAACTTTTTGTTCATAAACCTTTTTACATTCTCGAATGGAAAAATAGGATAAATGGCGTTTAGTTAGTAGACATCATCCATGCCTTCCCCAGCACGCTTACAGAAGTAATTGGTTAACCAAAGATGAACTGTGCGTTGACAGTTGGACCTCCACAAGTGACGGCTTCCACTGCCGTCCCACGGGATGGGTGGTGAATGAGTTAATGGTGGGACAGAACTGGGCAGCATCTATAGCAATCTCTCCTCCTTTGATACTCACGTTTCTTCGGTAGCAAGACGACGTCAAGAGTCGTGAAGTTAAATTACGTTGTTTTGCGGTTGCACACGGAACTGTTTGATTT